TGTATACTCTGCCCGCCGCTGTCGGTGTCGTTGGGGGCGCGTTTGTCCGCAGGGTGACCGGCGCCGCAGTCCCTCCTCCTCTCTTCCCTCCTCTCGCATCGAGGGGCTCCTATTCCCCGTGGGAGGCTCCTCCCTCCACTTCCGCCGCTTCCCCTCCTGCCCCTCCTCGTGCTCCTCCTCCTCCTCCTCCTCTCGCCGTCGGGGGTCGAGGTCTCTCGAGCCTCTTTTTGTATGTTGTGGGCCTCGGGGAGGCTCCTCGTCGCCGCGGTTCGCCGTCGTCAGCGGCCAGGCAGCGGAGGCAGCGTGGAACACTGGGAGCCTGGGGATTCGAAGCTCATGGGTGGGCGTCTTTTCTGGGACAGGGCAAGCAGGGGGGGGGAGCAGGGGGGGCACCAGAGGAAGGGGCACGGGGAGAGAGGATGGCGACCGACCAGAGGAGCGGTGACTGCAGGAATACTCTTGATACCCGAATCTGCGTCTTGCGTTGTGGTCGTCGTGGTCGTCGGGGGTCGTGTCCACCAAGGGAGGATGATCCTCGATTGCAGTGTCGTCCCAGACATCCGAAGGATTTGTTTCGTTCATTTTCCCATCTGGGCAGTCTTACATCGAATTCGGCCTTCCGATGGCTGTTTTCGGGCCCGGGGCCATCAACTATGGAGCCAGTACTAAACACTTCGCCCAGGAAGAATTTTCTTTGGAGCTCTGGGGCCACGGTGGTGTCGGTGGTACTCTTGAGGTCTCCCTGGGTCAATGAACCAGACACAACGCACATGGGCCGCGCGCAGAGGGGCGAGGGGGAGGACGAAGACTTCTCATAAGCACCGCTGCTTCTTAGAAGGCGCGGGCCTTGTCTGTAGATGCAGGGTCGGCGCCTCCCAAGAAGCAGGCTCCTTCAAAGAAGCCTTCTCCCGTCCCCCTCCCCCCCCTCCCCCTCCCCCACCCCCTATGCGCGCAGCCAAGTGAAACCTTACGTTTTCGGAGGTCCGCGCGGATTTCTTGGATCGGCGCTGGACGCTGGTCCCCCCTCTCCCTGGCGAGCGAGGCGCTGCGTTGGCGGCACCGCCAGGGGGTGCCCAGCGTCGATTCAAGAGATCTGCGCGGACCCCCGAAGTTGCATGCGTATGTGAATCAAAACTCAGAGTAAGGACGCACGGATGTCCTTAGGGTGCCCTTGCGTTCTTGCCTCTGCGGCCCGTCCTTCGAGACTTTCACTGGCCAGCCCTTCAGGGTGTTGACCGTCCGCCGCCCAAAAAGTGCCAACTTCGGCGTCCAAGGCCCTTGCGTCCTTGCCGCCCGTCCTTTCTATAGATTTCGACTGTAGATTCTTGCTCCTCTCCAGGGGGCCCGGAGGCTACGACCGTCCCCGGGATCGCGAGCCGTCTCCCCTCGGTGGGGGCGGCTGCGGGTGCTGGTGTCTCTGGGCCTCCCGGATGGGGTCGGAATAGATGGGGTCGGAGCATCGTGCCGTATCGCCGCTGCATCCGCGATGCGGCTCGATGTGGATCCCGATTTTCTCCACGCCGACGTCGCCAATGCCTCGACGTCGCCGATGCATCGCCGATGCATCGGTGATGCATCATCGATGCGGCGCGATCCTCCGATCCCATCTGCTCCGACCCCATCTGGGAGGTCTCTAGTTTCGGTGCCAGCGTCTGGGTCTCCGACATCCGTGTCGGGTGTCGGGATCTTGGTGATTGTATTCACGGGCGGAAGCGCAGAGGTGCTGAGGCAGTCCGTTCTCAGCGTGGTGAACGCAAGCAGGGCCTCCCCGGATGGTGGGGGAGACCTCATCGGCCTCTTCGCCGCCGACGGCGGCGCCTTGCTCACAAGGCTGCGGGTCTGCATCGGTGGGTTCTTCATCACCGGTGTGATGGATATCGTCATCGCGTGGGCTCTGTGGATGGTGTTTCGTCCCGTCAACGATACTCTTGCGTTGCTCTCCTCGTGGCTGCGCGTGAGCTATACACTCTTGGAGTTGTCCAGCGTATCAAGCTCCCTAGGGATGATTCCCAGGCTTGTGACAGGGTCCATGGTGGTGGATTCTCCGAGTTCCGAACCGAATTCTGGAAGCGGGCATGCAGCAATCGAGAGCGGGTTCGTGAATCAAGAGATCGCCTTGCTATTTGATGGATTCGAATTCGGGTGGAACGTGGTCGCGCTGGCGGTATTCGGCATACATCTGATGGTGCTGGGGGTTGTAGTTTGGCAAGCAAATCCCAGCAGGACCACAGGAGAATACGCGAGGCCGCTTACTGGAGATCCAGCACAGGAGGCACGAGGAGGTGAAGTGCCGCCGAAGTGGCTGGCAGTGATGGTCGTGATCGCGGGAGTCGCTTATCTGACGGACTCTATTGGCAAAATGGTTTGGGACCACAAGTCAACGTTTGCATTCACCGCCTACGGTGGATTTCTGGGTGAAGTGTTTCTCATGGTGTGGCTCCTGGTGCGTGGTGGCAGGATTGATGTGAGCACCTGGGGACAGTTGTCGGATGATGTTGTGGAGAGTGGCGCGGATGGCCGCGTGAAGGAGGGCATTGATGTGAACACCCGGAGGCAGGTGCCTTGATGTGGCTCTTGCTGCAGGGGCAGCCGCAACTCAAACTCAAACAGGGTCATCGAGGGCCGGCCTGGCCGAGTCTACCAGAGACTGGAGGCAGCCGCGATTCGGCCTCCTCTTTCTCCCTCCCCCCATCCTCCTCCTCATCCTCCTCCTCATCCTCCTCGCCTCCCTTCTTTATCGTCCCAGAGCTGGCGGTATGTCAGGGGCGTCTTGTGCAGAATGGTGCGCGCTTGTGGCCTGGAGGGGTGCATGTTTTTCTGCAGTTGGTGACAGGCTCGTTCTAGGCCAGATCCCAGCGGCATGCGGGCGGGGATGTCAGGACTGCCCACAAGTGGCCCCTGGAAACCCTGTGATGACGCATGGCATGAACGATACGAGACTCCGATCAGGGGAGGCGGCGATTGCCTCCTGCACTCAGGAGTGCGAGCGAGTGCTCCTCGGCAAGGTCTGGACGGCTTTCGGTTCCATACATGCGGTTGCGTTGCTGTGCACATCCGTCCAGGGCGCGAGCTAAGCTGTGTTCTGGCGATTTCGTGGACCGTTCTCGTTTTGATGTTGTTTTGCAGCAAGGCTGAACGCAGACAGAACGAGGGATACCGAACACAACACAACAACGGAACACGCTGTTTAGCTCACGCCCCGCATCCGCCATCTTGCCGATGGTGGGATCGAGGATCGAGGATCCAGGGATCGAGGAATCGAAGACTGAGAGTTTGGGACGCTTTTGGTCCTTCCTGGCCCTTAGGGGGCCTTCGGCCTTCGGATGCTGGATTATTATCCATGCCCCCACTCCGCCCGCTCGTTGAGTTCTGGCGTGAGCAGGAGCGATGATCAAACATGTCCATCGCCCAAAAGTCGTGACGGACCCAGACCTCCAACATCTTATTAAATTCAAGACGGAGGTTTCTCTCCGTTCTCGGCTTCCTCGCCGGGCCCGGGGACCGTCAACGATGATGATTCAGGATGAGAAGCCGGAGCTTGGGAGTGGGTCGAGTCTTTTGGGAACTCCGTATTGTAATACTCAAGGCATCGGATTTGCGGATCTTGGTCACTTTCGGCTTCCCAGGGGCCCTCGCCAGTGCCTGGGAGAGGTCGAGACCTCTTGCGCCTACGTTATGGAAAAAAAACATGTCCTCTGATCCGGGCGTGGCATTTTTTTCGCACAGGGGCGATTCTGCCCGGTGTCGGGCCCTGCGGCCTTCACAGACCGATCTGGCTCGAAGGAAGACGCGGAAAAGATGGGGTCCAGGGCTCCAGTCGTGACGTTTCACGAGGCTGTCTTTTTCGCAACGTCTGATCTCATGGTACCTCTTGTGCCCACGTGTCGGAGAAACGCAAGACTCGAGTACGCCGGAATTCCAGTTTGCCGACGCTTTTTGACGAGTGCGTCTCGGATTTTGACGGTCCAGTTTTCGTGGGATGGTTGCAGTGGGAGTTCGCGTCAAATTTCAGATTCCGTCTCGTCATTTTCGTGACAGCCCTGTCAGGCCAACCCGAGTCCCCCGAACTCGCGTTTTACGCCTCTCCGAACGTGGAGAAATTCACAATGTCGGGCATCTGGGTCCTACGCTCTGTCTCGGGAGGACCGGAGCGGGCCAGCCGCGGCCTGGGGAGGGTGGAGCTGGAACAAGGGTGGGTTGCGACGTCTGCGGCGTGCAGCTGGGTTAAGCTTTCCGCCGCTGGGCTTCTTCCTCGGTGCATGGCCACAGTGGCCATGGAGCACTCGCGGCGCCCATCCAGCTTGCCCTGGGGAAGGATGGGCCGAGCCTCACCATTCCCAAGATCATCTTCAAGCTCCCGCTTTAGATGAAGCACGTCGAGCTGTTGCTAGGCCACTCTCACCTTCATCGCTTACCTATACGCGCACTGGCCGCCTCCACCGCAGGGAGGCGCTGGGAAAACCAGCTGCATGCAGCTGATTCGCCAACTCCCTCTTTGCTATGCCCCCCCAGGGGGGGGGGCAGGAGGGGGGCAAGGGCCACAGCTTCCCAAGGTGTGGCTGGTCGGCGTCATAGGGGCGGGAAGGATGGGGACGAAAACTGGAAGCATTCCCTGGTCGTTTCAGTCGACAGGAGGAAATTTCAAACATATTAGACAAAATAGTCTGGGGACGAATCTTCGACTATTTTTTGATACTCCTGATTTTTTAAGCTTCAGAGGAAAAACGCCCACCCGACAGCGGTCGCCGCCGTTTTGGCACAGCACTTGTTGTTGGGCATCGTCCCCCACTGCAGGCGCCCGAGCTGTGGGGGCTCCCCGGCGGCGGCCCTGCCGCCCAAGGCTCCGGCCAACAAAATCCTCGACGCCTCGATCCCTCGATCCCTCGACCCCTCGACCCCTCGACTCCTTCGATTGACGACGACGACGAGAGAGGCGGCAGCGGCGGCGACAGTGACGGCCACGGCGACGACGACGGAAGATGACGCCGGGGCCCTCGGAGGCGGCCGTGCCGCTGGGTGCGCCGAAGAAGGCGGCGGCCGTGGCGGCGGCGCAGCCGCCGTACGACTGCGAGGCCGCGGGGCCGTCGCCGCCGCCATCGGCGGCCACCGTCGGCCATCGACGGCTTCGGTGGCCCTCGGCCCAGGCAGCGGCGCGGAAGGTGGCGGCGTCGACGTCGTCGCCGTGGTCGCGGTCGGTGTCGTCGTCGAGGCAGTCGTGGTCGTCGCCGTCGTGGTCCTCGTGTTCGTTGTCGCGGTCGTTGTGGCCCCCGGGTCCGTCCTCGACGCCGCTGTTGTCGTCGCCAGCGTTGACGCCGCCGTTTTTTCTTCTTCCTCCTCCTTCCCTCCTCCTCCTCCTCCTGCTCCTCCTCCACCTCCTCCCTTTCCTCCTCCTCCTCCTCCTCCTTGTTCTACGTCTGAGACGTCTTTAAGGTGGCACTTGCTAGGATTCCTAACAACTACGCATCTGTTCCTTTTCCGTCCGGTATGGCCAGGCCACATCCATGGCTGAAGCCGAGGCGTTGATTTCGTGAGGATCGCACCTCATTGGTGCTGGCGCTCCTCCGCCTTCTTGTTTGCCTCTTTCTCCTCCTGCTTCTCCTCCTCCTCCTCATCCCCTCTTTCATTATTCCAGCTTTCCAGTCTTCTTTCCGGGAGTGTGATTTCATGCCTGCGTCAGGTGAGGTCCTTCGCGCTCCATCTTTCCGCGCTCTCAACGCTTTCATTGCAGGAGTCGCTGCAGGTGTTGCGCGCCTCCTCCGTCTTTCTACGCCTCCATGTTTTTTTTTTTTTTTCTCTCTCTCTCTCTCTCCCTCTCTCCCTCTCTCGGTCAGAGGAGCATGATTATGATGAGGAGGAGGAGGAGGATAGGAGGAGGAGGAGGAGGAGGAGGAGGAGGAGGAGGAGGAGGAGGAGGAGGAGGAGGAGGAGGAGGAGGAGGGGTTCTCGCCCGCCCCCTTCCCAGCCAGGCGGGGGGGGCCGCCACGTGGGAGTGGATCTGGTCGGCCGAGCAGCGGGACTTCTGCTGCAAGGAGCTGCGTCGTTGTCGGCGTCGGCGGCGGAAGTGGAAGACGGGGAGGAGGAGGACGAAGATGGGGGAGGTAGAGGAGTATGAGGAACAGGAGAAATAGGATGGTCACCTCTCCTCCCTCCTCGTCCTCCTCATCCTCTTCCTCCTCCTCATCCTCTCCTCCTCCTTATCCTTCCTCTCCTTCCTCTCCCTTCTCCCTCCTCATCCCTCTTTCCTCCTCATCCTTCCTCTTCTTCTCCTTTACCTTTCCCTCCGCCTCCTCCCCGTTCGCACCATGCGCTCGCCTGGTCGGGAGCCGTTGGCGCCCCACTTCGCCGCGCGGTGGCCGCTGACTGCAGCCGCTGGCGGCGCCCTTGCGGGCGGGTCGGGCAACCGCCGGGGCCGCGCGCCGCTCCTCACTTCGGATCGCCCCGCACCTCCTGAGCCCGCACCTCGGCACGTACACGAAGTCCTTCATGGCCTAAGTGTGGCTCCCTCGCCCTGCAGGCCTCTCGGGCCGTCCCTCGCTTCAGCGCGTTCTCTCTTTCCCCGTGCCTCGCCGTGCTTCGGCGTGCCCCGCCGCGGAGCGACCGCCGTCGGATCCTCTTGTGGCCGCTGGCCGAAAAGCTTGCCGACGTTAGCCGCGCAGGCTGCACCACTATTTCGTTGTACGAAGCGCCCCCGTCGGTTTGGCGGCACAGCGTATGCGGCCGGTTATGGCCAGGAGCCTTGGCTCAGCGTGGCGTTCCGCCGGTTTTGGTTATCCATGACGAGCGAGCAGCACACACACACCCATACCCATAGGGGGGCCGGGGAGGGCTATGGGTGCGTGTTGTCGGATGGGGGTCCCAGCTCGAACAGGAGTTTCCCTCGGGATACAGCAACCCGCACCCATACCCATAGCCATAGCCAGTCCTCCTCCCGCCGACCTCCCTATGGGTATGGGTGTGTGTTGTTCGTTCGTCAAGTCACGCCCTCCTTTCCAAGCGCCAGCGCCCTGAGACTTTCCGAGCCCCTCGTCCCGCGGAGCGGGGCGACACGCTATCCGCTCGCAGGGCATAGCGTGTCGCCGGGGCCGCCGCCGAAACACGCCAAGCAACAACTCCTGGCCGCAGTACTATGTCGTTGCATGCGGCGGGTAAGTGCACATTCCATCGCAGAGTCCGCTGCCTGCAGCTGAGGGAGACCTCGCATTTCCCATGAATATGCAGCCACCAGCCAGGATACACAGCTGCATCGTTTCGACACGCATAGAGTACGACGTGCAACAACTAGAATCCGATGAAGAAGAGAAGCCTGCTAGGATTGCATGAGCAGTCAAGGGTCCCGTGGAGGGCGTCTAGACGCAGCTGGCGCAGTAATCGGGAGGAAGTGTACAGACCACAACCAACACCATGACATGCTACACTTCCTGATGCTGCTCCTCGCGCCAATAGCTTACCAACCCCAGGGATGGAGTCAGTATTTCGGAGACCCCCTTTATCGATAAGAGATGCGGCATTGGAGATCTGGGGCACCAAGGGGGATCTCCAAGGATCTCCAAGGATCTCCTGGGACCTCGGCTTCTGGCGCCATGATTCGCCTCCTCTTCCCTACTTTTCCTCGTCCTCTTGCTCCTGCACCTTCTCCTGCTTCTCCTGCTGCAGCTGCTCGTTCTCCTCTTGCTACGGCTACCCACATCTCCCTTTCCTCATCGTCGTCGTCGCCGCCGTCACCGTCGTCGTCGCCTCCTTCGTTTCTTCCTGCTTCTCCTCCGCCTCCCTAAGCTAAATTGCTTTCTGTATGTGCACAGTTAGCGGCCACAGCTACACAATCGGAGCAGGGCACCAGCATAGATGACAGCACCATTGACGCGGCGCAGAGGGAGCCACTGATGGTACGCTCCAGCCCTTCTGTTGCAGCCGCGCTGTAGTACTATATCGTTCAAGTTGTGAAACTGCTCAGCTGTGAAGCTCTCTATTGCAGCCGCGCTCTGGAACGGCTCAGCCAACACATTCCAGATTCCGAATTTACATGCCGAAATCCATGGCTGGAAGATGCAGTCAAGCATGGGGGATGGGGAAGAGTTCGTTTTCTCCGTAGAGGCCGGCCACCACAGCATGGAAGATTACGAAATTGAAGAGTGGATCTTGTGGACAAACTTCATAAGGCGGGCAATATGGCGTAACATTTCGAAAAGGAGCAGTGGACTTTGCACGGTGGACCATAACAATTGCCAACCAGGGAGGTAAACGGAGAGCACCTAGATATCTACATTGGGGAGTTCACCCTCGAAGGAGTACGACGAAACATCACATTCGTGCAACACGGTAAAGCTGCTGGCGACGGCGTGCCACCAGACGTATGTCAAGCATCATGGGCATCCGACGCAGCATCGGGTAGTATTTCGGATGTGTGTAACACTTGTTGGCGCCAAAGAGACGTACCAACATACTTGCGTGAACCATTTGTTGTACCTAGGTTTAAACAGAGCGACTTGTCATTCCCATGCGTCGAAAACTGCCCTGGTAAGGGTACGCTCACATGCAAGCATGTTAGGTCCCGATGGTAACTAGACCAGACCCAAAGGTCAACATTTGTATCTCGGCGGGTAATACAAGGTCGATGGGAAGCCGAGAGCAGAACCCACACGCTGGCTGGGGAAAACAAAGGGGGCATTCGAAAACATCTATACCGTGTGGAACCATGCTACGTTGAGCAGGCAACGTAAGACCCGTGTCTTGGACGCATGCGTATGTTCGAAGCTTCTCTATGTATTGGAGTCTTGCGTGTTGCTGAAGGCCGCCAGGGATCGTATCGATAAATTTTGGGCGAGGTCCCTTTGAAAAGTGTACACAATCAGCCTGCGTGTGTTTCTCGCGTACACAACACTGAGGTGAGAGTAGCGGCAAAAGCCAAGCGATTGTCGACTGTGCTATTGGAGCGCCAGTTGCAGCTGTGTGGAAGTTGGCGGTGGACCCTGAGGGAAGTCTACCAAGAAGTCTTTTTTTCTTCTCACACAGGGGCATTACACGACAGATTGCCAAGACAATGGCAAAGCACGCGCGCCCGAGGGCGCCCCCGACTGCAATGTGCAGAGCACATGCACGTGCAGGCCTTAGAGTTGGCAGGGAGAGACCGTGACCGCCAGCAGGGGTTGTTTCACAGCTCCTCGCCGAATGGCACAACGCCGTTAACGATAACTGCACTTGGTGGCGTTTGTCTTCCCATTCCCTTCCTCCCTCCTTCCCCCTCCCCCCTCTCCTCTTGCAAGTTTCTTCTGCGAGAGTAACGTCGTCCGTTGCCCAGCTCTGGCCCATGTACAGTGGTTGCGTTCCAGCGCGCTTGCATTCAGAGTACCATTTTCCACATTCTATTGGCTTTCGTTTCGCAGATATTAGTATCGATGCGTCTTCTAGGCGCGGCTTCTTTCTTTCCTGTAGTAGCATGTTGCAGCCACTTGAGCATATGCAGATCTCAAGCGATCTTTGTTTGAATTTAGTCTCAACGCACTTTTACACTGACCGCATCACGCTAGGCCTGGCGGGAGCTGTCACAGAGGTCTTGATTTCGAACTCATCCCTACTCGCCCCCCCCCGTCCGTGCTCATTTCCTGCCCTTGTCCGTGTCTGCCTACTGCCTGCCTTGCTTCTGCCCCTGCCCTTGCCTACCGTGCCCAAGTCCTTGCCCAGCTCGGTGACGACCGCCGCCGTTGCCGCCGTTGTCGTCGTCGCCGCCGTCGTCGTCGTCGTCGTCGTCGTCGTCGTCGTCGTCGTCGTCGCCCCTGCCGTCCAGGAACATGGCCAGGGCTGCACGACGACTGCGCCGCCAGGCGCGCCCGCATTTGGGGGGGGTGCCGTCCGCGGCGGCGGAGGTCGGTCGGACTCGGAAGTGCAGCAGTCTGCGCGCCGTCTTGCTGAAGTCTCTCGCCCCGAGTCGAGGGAAGAAACGGGGACCATGACCAAGATGTCCCGGTTTGTGTCGACGTCGATCTTGGTCGTGGTCCATATCGGCCGTCGCCCGTCGCCCATTCGCTAGAATGGTCCAGGAATTGACGCTGACGAAGATTGACGGTGACCAAGATCGACACGCCGTTTCCGCGTTCAGTCTTGGTCATGGTCCCCGATTTCGCCCCTCCACCAGGAGCTTGTTTCGACCACCACCCTCCCCCGCGAAGGGGGGCCCAGCCCCGAGTCCTGGGCGGCCCGACGCACAGAAGCGAGAGGGCGGCGGCCGGCGCGAAGCGCTGGAAGAGACAGGTGGGAGGAGGAAGTAGGGTTGTGGAAGCCGATTATGGAGAGGAAGCATGCTGCCAAATAATTTCCAGATGTCTAGAACATGTCCCAAACACGTTTTAGATATGTAAAACCATGTTTGAAACGTTTTTAGATCATGTTTCACACATCTTAAACACATGTTTAATTCAATGATGGGATTGTTAGGGTGTCCATTGTCATAGCATCCGCAAAAGTAAGGGAGAACAGGGAGGGAGGGGGGGGGGAGGGAGGAAGGGAGGAGGTACCCTGCCAGGTGCCCAGGCTGACCGCTCCTTCTCACCAGGGGCCGGCAATAGGCCGGTCTAGTTGATGACGCGCGCGCGCGCGCCAAGGCGCGGGGGAGCCGCCGCACGTGGGGCGCCCGTTCGAGTCGAGCGCCACTGGCCTGGCGGACCGCGAGGCGCCGCCAGGGGGGCGGGGCAGGCTCAGCCACGCGCAACGGTGATGGTGGGGGAGGGGGGGGGGGGCTACTCAGAAGCACCCTTTTTCTCAGAAGGCGCGGGCGTTGTCTACAGATGTAAGGCCTGCGTCTTCCAAGGAGCAGCCTCCTGCCAAGAAGCCTCCCCCCCTCTCCCTACCTCCCGGTGCCCGCGGCCAACAGGAGGATCCAAGGTCCAGGTTTTGGGCGTCCTTGCACCTTTCGGGCTCTGGGGGCCTCCGCAGGGGACCAGGGCCTCCTCCGGGGACCAGGGCCTCTTCCGCAGCGGCGACGCCGTCGTCATCACCGCCATCGTCATCGTCGTCGTCGTCGTCGGCGGCGGCGGCGTCAGCGTCGACACCGTCTGCGGCGTCGTCGTCGTTGCCGTCGTCGTCAATGAGTTGTCGTCGTCATCGCCGTCGTTCGGCGTCGTCGTCGTCGTTGTCAGCGTCGTTGTCTTCGATTGCTTCGTTGTCATCGCTGTCGCCTCGGTGGTCGGGACTCTGCTGCTTCCGCTGCCCAGGCTGGGCAAAAGGAAAGAAGGCAAGAAGGGGGGCGATCGCGCTTTGCGCGAGCCGCTCTCCCCAGACAGTTTTCCGACCGGCCACGCGCAGAGGGGGGTACAGTCGACCCGCATTGTAAGGATGAGCGACATTCCAAGGCTATCCTTGCATCCTTCTCCGTCGGCCCATCCATGGCCGCTTTCGCTGGCCGCGCCCCGCCCATAAGGTGTCGTCATGTCCTTCCAAGGCCTTTGCATCCTCATCGTGCGTCTTTGCTCTACAGGTTGATTGTATCGGCCACGCGCAGATGGGGGTAGGGGAGGAGGGGAAGGCTTCTTAGAAGCACCCCTGCTTCTTCGAAGGCGCGGGCCCTATCCTCTAATGGGACTTCCCCCTCCCTCTTCCCCCCCTCTGTGCGCGCCGCCAACCATATCAGGGGAGACGCATGGGCCACAAAGAGGCCACTCATGCAAAGCAACATGGTGAAAAGAGTACCGGACGCACCGTCGACGAAAAACATGTCAGGCATTCTGCCAGCAATCGCCTCCCCGCGCCCAGAACAAATCGCGGGGGCCAGTGTGTTGCCGTTTTTGGCCTCTGGATGCAGGCGTCTGGCCTCGTGGCCGTCAAACGTCAGGTCCGGATGACACGCCGCCCGTGTGGAAGGGGTCGAGGGGTCCAGGGGCCCACGCATCGAGCAGGTCGAGAGCGCCGGATATCTGGGGAGTGGAGGGAGGCAACGTTCTGGGATCTAGGTTCGAGGGCCGAAGGCCTTGGCCGAGGGCCTCGGGCCTGCAGGGAGGGGCCTCTGGAGGCTTCTGGCAGCCTCCGGCGGGGACATCCAGGGACCTCCTCAGGAGGCTTCTGGGGAGAGGCATCCAGAAGCCTCCCCCCTCCCCCCTCCCCCCTCCCTTTCCTTCCTCCATGTCTTGTCCCTCCTCGCTCCCTTCCTCCTCCCCGTCCTTCCTCCTGCTTCCTGCTCGAGGCCTCGACGCTGAGGGTGGAGTTCGGGGGTCCCTCGTCCTCCCTCTCCTACCCCAGCGCAGCTGGCAGTGCAGGCGCACATCGGCGGAGCACGGGAGACCTCCTCCCTCCTGCCCCCGCATTTCTCCTGCCTCCCTCCTTGCCGTGGTACTGACACCTGGCAGGGGTCAGACGAGAAAGTTGCCCAGCATGCTGTAGGTCATGCGAGCACGGACGGCATGAAGTGAGGCCTCCGGCCCCTCCGCGTATGCCCGCGTGGGCCCCGCCCACCCTTGATACTTGGAGCCTGCTCCTGGGACAGCACCCCAAGCGTCCAGGAGAGCCTTTATCCGCTCTGTAACCTTTTCCCCGTGCAGGCCCCCGTGGAAGAAAGATCTTCCCTCCTCTTCTGCTCATTCCTGGGAGGAGGATGGGATGAGGGAGGTGGTGGTGGTGTACATTTTTGGGCCCCGTACCCGAGGCCCAGTGAGGGCCCCGAGAGGCCGCAACCGATGAAAACCACCGCCTCGATTTTTCCGAGGCGCCAGGTGTCTGGGAAGGCTCCTCCGCAGGCGGCGGCGAGGACTGGGCGTCGGAGACTGGAGGGCGTGGCGGCCCGGCGAGGTGTCTGTCGAGGGCCACACGCGCCGCTTCTCGTTGTACGTGCCCGTGCCCTGTGGCTCCACAGGACGGCGCTCCAGCTTCAGACCTGGGCAGGAGGGAGAAACGGAGCGGAGTGAGTGAGGAGTTTTCCTTTTCTAGTTTTGTGTTTTGTTCTTTGTTGCAAAAACTGGGGGGCAGCAGCAGGCGATCTGCCTGAGACATCCCCACAGTCTGGGCGCGAATTCTGGAATCCCCCCCCCCCCTGGCGGCTCCCCATTGGGGTGCCCACGTGCTACGCTTGTTGTATCTCTGTGAGCAGTTGGCCACTAAGAGAGAGAAGTTGGGGCAGAACTAGGCACACCGCGTGAAACATGCCCACAACCTGGCTGCGAATGGGCCCGTGCAACACCCCCTTGGCGGCTCCCCCTGGGGGTGCCCATGTGCCACGCCTTCTATATCGAGGGGGGCAGTTGACCGCTAACAGCTAGATGTCTGGGGGGGCAGAAACACGCAAACCGCTCGAGACATCCCCACACTCTGGACGCGAACGGTCCCGTGAATGCCCGTTGGCGGCTCCCCCTTGGGGTGCCCAGGTGCCACGACTGCTACATCGCTGCTGCAAGGGCCGCCGACAGAAGACAGAAGTCGGGGGGGGCAACACGAGACACCCCCCACCAATCTGGGCGCAAACGGGCCGTGAGATACCCCCTGGCGGCTGCCCCCTTTGGGGTGCCCAGGTGCCACGCCTGCTGTACAGCAAGCGAAAGGCGTGAGGCATTACCACAGTCTGGGCGCGGAGGGGCCCGTGTCGTACAATTCGGCGGCTCCCACTCGCGAGAGCTGAAACGAACGCCTCGCTTGAGAGATCCTCACATTCTGTGTGTGTTGTGAGAGAGGGAGAGAGAGATAGAGAGAGCGAGAGAGAGAGAGTGATTCTGAGTATGAGTAAGCCCGATAGAGGAAGAGGTGCGAACCTGAGTGTCAGTGAGAATGATTCTGAGTGTGATATGTGAGCCTGAGTGACGACGAGTAGGAATGAGGGTGAGTGTGACTATGAGTGAGCCTGAGCGCGAACGAGTCTGAGTTTGAGTGAGTCTGAGGGTGCGTGGGCCTGACTGTAAGAATCTGTGTGGATGGGTCCGGGTATGAGTGAGTCTGAGAGTGAACGAGTATGAGCAGGAGTGTCTGAGTTGATCTGAGTGAATCTGGGTGAGGATGATTGAGTGGAGGAGTAAGGTCCGGAGGAGTGTGCAAAACAACAAGGAGCTCATTCTTGTGCTATGGGGGAAATAGCATGCGTGCGCTCGTTTATTGCTAAGGCCTTACGGCCAGTGCCGCCGACCCTGGATACCTCGGCTCTCGAGGCTGACGGGATGCGTGATACGACGTCGGAGGTAAATGAAGACGTGGCGGAGGAGCAGGCGGAGGAGGAGGAGGAGGAGGAGGAGGATGAGGAGGAGAAGGAGGAGGAGGAGGAGGAAGAGGTGGGAGGCGGAGGGAGGAGGAGGACGGAGGAGGAGGAGGAGGAGGAGGAGGAGACAAGGAGGAGAGAGGAGAGGGAGGAGAGGAAGGAGGAAGGAGGAGAGAGGAGGAGAGGAGGAGGGGGAGGAGGAGGAGGAGGAGGAGGAGGAGGAGGAGGAGGAGAGGAGGAGGGAGGCGGAGGAGGAGGAGGAGGAGAGGAGGAGGAGGGGGAGGGGGAGGGGGGGGGGGGAGGAGGGGCCGGGGGGATGCGTATCTGCCCCCTCCCCCCGGTGGGGATGGTAGGGAGGGGCTTCGCCACGACTGCGATTTCCTTCAGTTTCGTGTTTGATTTCCTTTTATTTCGGGCGACGACGATGACGACGACGACGACGACGGTGATCCACGCGTAACGACGACGACACCGGGATGCGTCTTCCACACGCCGACAGGGTCTGCGGATTTCGAAGTAATATTTTGAAAGAACCCTTGGCGAACATACCACAAAGTCAACACGCGCGCATGTGCCGAAACCATACCAATCACATTCGTATTGCAATCAATTCGGCAGGCAGGCATCACATACCTCAAGACTTTCCATCAACATGCTCGAAGATGTTCTGCCGGCGCCGTATCCTCATCTCATCACGCGGTGCACTTGCGCTGGCTTAGCATGCCCCCGCTGCAATAACCCGTATCACATAAGCCCATGCGGGCCACAACGCGCATCTATTGACATCTTTTCGAGCACCTTGACTTTTGAAGCGACTTTTCAGACACAGTTGAAAACAAAAAACACGTGTCCCCCGGGCACCCGATCCCGGGAACCGGGCACTCCGTCTGAGGCCGGGCACCTGATTGAGGCCCGCGAGGTGCAGAACCTGATCCCGGGCACCCGATTGAGGCCCGCGGACGTGCTCAGGGGGGCGCTGCGGCACGGGTTCACGGCGCCTCTGCCGACGCGTGCAGCGCTGGCCCGGATTGCGCGTCCATCATGTGCGAGTGCAGAATTGCCCATTACTGCGACGTTCTGCACCGTCAGAACATTCGAAAGAGCGTGTTCTACCGCTGCTGGCGGAAAACCGGGGGGGGGTCACTACCGGTTCGAACCCCTCCCCCCCCCTCCCCCCCCCTCTCCGGAAAACCGGGGGGGGGTCACTACCGGTTCGAACCCCTCCCCCCCCCCCCAGTTCATCCTGAAAAGGGGGGGGGGTCACTACCGGTTCGAACCCCCCCCCCTCGAAAACCGAGTGGGGGTGCGGACAGTGGTGGGGACGGTGTTGGTGGGGACAGTGGTGAGGGGACAGCGGGACAGTGGTGGGGACAGTGGGACAGTGGGACAGTGGTGGGGACGGTAGTGGTGGGGACAGTGGTGGGGACAATGGTGGGAACGGGGGGGACAGTGGACAGTGGTGGGGACGGTGGTGGTGGGGACAGTCGTGTGGGGACAGTGGGAATGAGGTGGAAACAGTGGGATAGTGGAGGGTACAATGGTGGTGGGGACAGTGGTGAAGGCGGTGGCGAGGACGGCGGTGGGACAATGGGACAGAGGTACAGTGGGGACAGTGGTGGGGACAGTGGGGACAGTGGTGGGAACAGTGGGACAGCTCAGTGGGACAGCGGGACAGCGGGGACAGTGGGGATAGTCGGGCAGTGGTTGGGTCCGTAGAGACAGTGGGGAGAGTGGAACCGTGGTGGGAACAGTGGTGGGAACAGTGGGGACAGTGCGACAGTGGTGGGGGCACTGGTGGGGACACTAGGGACGGTGGTGGAACCAGTGGGGACAGTGGTGGTGAGGACAGTGGTGCTGGGAACAACAGTGGGATGTGATGTGGACGGTGGTAGGGACCGGGAGTCGTTTGCTGGCGGTGCGTGGGGGGAGGGGGGTCGAACCGGTAGTGACCCTCCTCCGGTTTTCGAGGGGGGAGGGGGGGTTCGAACCGGTAGTGACCCCCCCCCGGTTTTCCAGATCTGGAGGGGGAGGGGGGGGGGGAGGGGTCCGAACCAGTAGTGACCCCCCCCGGTTTTCGAGGGGGAGGGGGGGGGGGGGGTCCAGCAGGGGGGGGGATTTTCGGAGGGGGGGGGGGGCGACCCCCGGGCTCCGGAGGAAAAGGCTGGCAATTTTCCACAGTAAAGCGGCGGTGGATCACGCTCTCTCGAACATTCGGAACAAGCCCCTGGTCTGGTCAGCCTACGGTCGATCCCACCCCTGGACGACATCCATCCTCCGCACACTCGCGACCCGCCTTGCCCAGCGGAGGGGATGCTCCGACGGGGCGTGGCGGTACTGCCACCTGACTGGCGCGGCCTGTGTGGCCCTGTGGCGGCGGGCGGACGCCCACGTCTGGGCGCGCTGGCCTGACCGGGGGGCAGACGACTGAGGGTGGGTCCGCCTGCGCCTTGGCCCTGGCCGCACCCTCTCCCGCCGCCCCTAGCATCCCCCCTCCCTTCCCCCGCGGGCCCCGCACGCGCGCCTAATGGCGGGGTCCGGTGGCTCTCACCCTGCGGCCGTGCTCCCCGTCCCGCGCTTGCTTGCCAGCTTGCTTGCCGCCCTTCCCTCCTCTCTTGGGCCTAGAGGCCGCGTGCAGAGGTTCAGAGCACCCTCCTCGCCCTCGTCCTCGTCCTCTCCTCCTCGCTTTCTCCCCCCTGGGCCGGCCAGTTTGTTTGTCTTGCGCTTTGCCGCGTGGAATTCGCCTGGCGGCAATCCTGCTTTCGCTCGGCCTAGGGGGCTGTTTCTTCGCAGTTTGTCTGTAGCCTTGGGTTGGCTACGTCCCAGGCGGAGTATGCATCATTCGCCAGTTGATTGTCCACCCCCTTTCTTCTTTTTCCTCGACCTTTTTCCTCCTCTTCCTCCTCCTCCTCCTCCTCCTCCTCCTTCTCCTCCCCCTCCTCCTCCGCAGTGTGGTGCCGCGCTGTCAGTCCAGCCCGGCTGGCTGGTTGGAGGCGAGGCCGCTCGTCGTGAGCACGCCGTTTCCCCCCCGCTTCTCCTCCGTCGTCGTCCTCCCCGCGTCCTCCGCCCCCCACCCCCCTTCCGATCCGCGGCGCGTCGTGGGTCCCAGGGCGACAGGGCGCTGTGATGCTAGCTCGAATGCTTTAGTTTTGAGCATCGCGGCAGGAGGCTGTGAGCGAGTACGGAGGTACGTGGGCTTGGGGTCAGGGGGCTCTCCGCCTCGCCGGGCCGCCCATGTCAAACAAGTTTCCGCAGCAAGAAGTTGCCGTATGTATTAGAATTCCTGCGCGCGCGAATTTCCTCACCATCACCCACAGCAGCGCCGCTGCATCGTCGCCGTCGCTGTCATCGCCAATCGATGCCTTTGCAGTGATCATCAGCACACGTGGCTTCATTACCCGCGCATGGACACCATCATCGCCAACGTCGTCACCAGCATCGGCGCCGTCATTGGCCTGGTCGTCGTCATCTTCATAATTTCCACCTCCATCGCTACTATCATTATCGTTGCTGCCGTTGTCGGCGTCATCATTGCATCGTGCTCGCCCGAGTCACCGACCCGCCCTGAAGTGCAAGTGCGCCAGCGCGGCCTTCGAGACACGCTGGGAAGTCCGCGTCAATTCTGCTAAAACAAATGGTCGCCGAGCTTGCGAGCGTTGGCGCGCCAGCGCGCCCGCACACATGCGATAGCGAAGGCCACTCGGCAACCACAGCCGTGGCCGCATGGGTTTTGCCAAACAGTTTTTGGGTGGGGCGGGCCGAACAGTCGATTTAACAACCCATGCCTTCAAGCGCGCTGTCATTTTGGACCAAATGTGTCCACACAAAAACACGTGCATTATGATTGCTACGGGTTGCGCCCCCAGGAGCGCGCATGCGTTGTATGCTACAACCCTTTGCCCAAGGAGCGTGGACTCGTTGTACTTTATTCAGGGTTGCGGCTTCGCGAGGGCGAACGTGACATTATTTTCTCAAAGGGTGCAGCTTTAGAAATGCGACGGTTTAGCGTATTACAGAAACGGTTTGCGGCTAGGGAGCGCAAGTAGGTAGTAATCAATTTGGAGAACACAAGGCTGAAGCGTCGGGACCGCGAAAGTTCCCAACACTGTGTACGCGAACGTTCCCAACACAGTGTTTGCATGCATTTCTTTGTTAAAAACACATACATATAACATATGTGCATGTACATATGCATGTTTATAAAATATCGGAGCTGGTGTGGCGACCTGGCGACCATGTTACTATATTGTCGCCCTCGCCGCCCCGTCGCCGCCTCGCCGCCGCCCGTCGTCTGGGGTGGTGTGGCGGTCTTGCGGTTATGTTGTCACACTCGCCGCCCCGTCGCCGCCGTGTCGCGGCCCCGGATTGCACTTCGTAAATTGCACATAGCAAGCATTGCACCACATATATTGGACGTAGCGTGCACCGTAGAGCTTGTACTCCACACCTTGCACCACATATCTTACACCACATAACTTGCACCGCATAGCTTACACCACATAGAGGGCATCACGAAGGTTGCACAATATTGATTCTCCTTTCTAAAAAAGGAGAGGTTCTGCCCCCCCCGGACTTATCGATTCCCTGGGAACCTATGCGAACCATTTATGATTCTGACCCAATGTCCATCCTCCTGGTGAATTTATTCTTCGCAGCCAGGCCGGTATCGGTCCCCCCTCGGTTCCCTGGCAAAACAAATCATACTTGTTCGTAAATCCCTTGTGACAAATACCATGCGGGGCACGCGCGCGGCCGCTGCGCGCGCATGTCGAAATCCTCCCAAACACAATGTGTTCTCAACAATTTCGACATCCCGCTTCAAGAACACATATGAACACATACGACTTTCTCACCCACATTCTGAAACATCTGCCCGCGCGCTCTTGCCGAATCCTTCAACAACCAATGTTTTTTCAACATTTCTGTCAAATCGGGCTTTTGGGCAACTTTTGCGCGCACGTCGATCTCATTCAACAACGGTCGCGCGCCTGCCAGGGCCACAACCCTTTGTAAAAAATACCATGCGGGGCACATGCGCGCGACCGCCGCGCGCGCAGATCGAAATCCTTCCAGACACATTGTGGTTGTCACCATTTCAAGGCCGAGCGTCATGAAATCACACGAATCCTACCGCACACCCTCGAACAACAATCTGCAACAAATTCAAAAAATATACCCGCGCGCGCTTTCCGAATCCTGAAACAATGGTTGTTCAATATTTTTGTCACGCGAGCAACTTATGCGCGCGCGTCGAACGTCTTCAACCTCGGTCGTGCGCCTGCCAGGGCCACAATTCCTGAGAAAAAAAAACACCATGCGCGCGGCCGCCGCGCGCGCATGTCGAAATCCTTCCTAACACGTTGTGTTTCCAACCATTTCAAGACCGAGCTTCGTGAAATCACACGGTTCCTACAATACACCCTCGAAACAAACCTGCAAACAAAATCAAAATGTCTACTCGCGCGCGCGGTTTCGTCGTCGTCGTCGTAGTCTTCGTCGTCGTCGTTGGCGTCGTCGTCGTCGGCGTCGTTGTCGTCGTCGTCGTCGTCGTCGTCGGCGGCTGCGTCGTCGTCGTCGTCGGCGTCGTCATCCTCGTCGTCGTCGGCGTCGGCGTCGTCGTCGTCGTCGTCGTCGTCGTCGAAGTCGTCGGAGTCGTCGTCGGTGTCGTCGGAGTCGTCGTCGGCGTCGTCGTTGTCGTCCTGCCGCTGTCGTCGTCGGCGTCGGTGTCGTTGCCAAGTGCCATTTGGTACCTACCGTCACAGTCTTAAGAGGTCTTGCGACCAAGTTGAGGGTGAGAGGGTGGGATGTCTGCACGAGCAGTGGAGAGGACAGTTTCAAGCCCGTCAAGTGAATTCTCCTTTCTAAAAAGAGAATAGATTCTACCCCCCCAGACTTAACGCTTCCCCCTGGGATAGTATAGTTTCATATATATATACATATATATGTATATATTCTGCACGCTCGTCCATCCTAGATATGAAATCGTACCATCCCAGGCAGGCCGGTTTCCCCCCCCTCTGAGGGTCCCTGGTAAAAAAAAACACTATGCGGTGACATTGTTTGTTCTAACATAGCACTTTTTCACGAACCCCTTGCAAAAAATGAGACGAAGTGAACACGCGCGCGTCGTCGCGCGCGCATGCCGAAATCCTTCAAAAACCTTGGGTGCCGGACGGATTTCGCAATCGAGTTTTCAAAAAACATACAAGAAAAATGGTTTCGCAACACTGATTTGCTAAAAAAGCTTCCGCGCGAGCTCTTGCGAAATCTTAAGAAAACCATAGGTTTTCAAGATTTGCACAAAATGCTACCAAACGGGCTTCGCGCGCGCGCATGTCGAAATCTGTCGAACGCCCTTGCGCGTGTGCCGTCGCGAGAATCCTCGGCAAAAAAATTGGACGAAGTGCAGACGCGCGCGTCGTCGCGCGCGTACGCCGAAATCCTTCAAAACCCATCGGTTTCGGAAGGATTTCGAAATCGCGCGTCCAAAAAACCTACCAAATCCCAAGATTTCGCAACACGGATTTTCATCAAAAGCGTGCGCGCGCGCTCTTGCGTCGTCGTCGTCGTCGTCGTCGCAGTCTTCCCTCCTCCCCCGTCGTTGTCGTCGTCGTCGTCGCCTACGTCGTCCTCTGTCTTTCCTCGTGTTCGTCGTCGTCGTCCTCTTTGGCGTCGTGGTCGTTTCCGTCGTCGTTGTCGCCGTGGTCGTCCTTCCTCCTCCTCCCTTGTCGTCGTCGTCGTCGTCGTCCGTCGTCGGCGTCTCGTCGTCGTCCCTCCTATTTCGTCGCCGTCGTCGTCGTCGTCGTCGTTCGTCGTCGTCGTCTTCCCTCCTCCCTCGTCGTTGCCGTCGTCGGCGTCGCCGTCCTTCCTCCTTCTTTGTCGTTCGCGTCGTCGCCGTCCTCCCTCCTCCCTCGTCGTTGTCGTCGTTGTCGCCGTTGTCGCCGTCGTCGTCCTCCCTCCTCCCTCGTCGTCGTCTTCGTTGGCGACGTCGTCGTCGTCTTCGTCGTCGTCGTCGGCGTCGGTCGTCGTCGTCTTCGTCGTCGTGTCGGCGTCGTCGTCGTCGTCGCCACCGTCGGTCGTCGTCGTCGGCGTCGTCGTCGTCGGCGTCGGCGTCGTTGACGTCGTCGTCGTCGTCGTCGGCGTCGTCGTTGTCGTCGTCGTCGGCGTCGTCATCGTCGTCGTCGTTGTCATCGTCGTCGTCGTCATCGGCGTCGGCGTCGTCGTCGTCGTCGTCGTCGTCGTCGTCGTTGTCGGCGTCGTCGAAGTCGTTGGAGACGTCGTCGGTGTCGTCGTAGTCGTTGTCGGCGGCGTCGTCGTCGTCGTTGTCGCTGTCGTCGTCGGCGTCGCTGTCGATGGCAAGTGCCATTTGGTACCCACCGTCACGGTCTTGAGAGATTTTGCGAACCAAGTTGCGGGTGGGTGGGTGGGATGTTTGCGCGAGCAGTGGAGTGGTCAAGCGCGGTGCAGGGTAGTCAATTGCACCACATAGACTGCACCACCTAGAAATCACCACATCTATTGCTCCACGTAGATTGCACCACATATCTTTCTAGAAACACACTGGCCCACGCTGGCTAACATGTTGTTGTGTGCTGCAGGGTTGGCCTCGGAAGCGCGATCACGCCGTAAGTTACCAGCGGTTGTGGCCTCGGGAACGCAAGCCTGGTGTACTCTGGAAGGGATTGTTGCCTCGGGAGCGGGAGTGGCTTCGGGAGTGCCTCTTTATCTTCGTGATTGCCCTCACCCTTCGTGACCATGTTGCTGGGGGGTCCCCAGAGCCCCTCCTACTCCGTGTGCCCCGATGCCTCAAGAGAGTCAGGCATGGCCAGAACTGTCCAAAACCGCGATCCTCGATCCTCCCCCGCCGCGTCAGCGGTCGGCGGCTCTTGGCTTGTGCGCTTCCCGCCAACTTGGCGTCTTGATTAGCAGCACGCCTGTAGAGGTCACCCAGATCCTGGTTTTGAGCGTCTTGATGCCCGACGCGGGTCTGCGCTCGCAGAGGGCCTCGAATTGCAGTAGACATCGTGTCCAGGGTTTCGCTCACTCGCTCGCTCCAGCGACCCTCGATTCACTGACCTCGATCCAACCTAATCCTTGTTACCTGGTCCCGCAGGTCCGAAGGGGCCTCCAGAGGCCCCCACATGGTTAGAACCTCGATCCTTGATCTCCTCTTCCTCTTCCTCCTCGTCCTCTTCCTCTTCCTCCTCTGCCTTCTCCTCCTCCTCCTCCTCCTCCTCCTCCTACTCGATCCTTCTGCGCCCCCTCCTCGCCCTCTCTTCTTCTTCTTCTTCTTCTTCTTCTTCTCCTTCTTGGTCTTCCTCTTCTTCCTCCTTCCCCCCTCTTCCTACCCGCGCACCCTCGTCCCTCGTTACCGCCCTGGCCCAAGCGAGGGGAGGTCTGCCCTGCCGCGCCGCAGGCCCCCCCAGGCCGATGCCGCGGCCGCGCGCGGTGGCTCCGGCATGGCAGAGCCACCGCGGGCGGAGGGGTGCACCTTCCGCATCGGTGGGCAGTGGACGGCCTTCGAGGGTATCGCCGACAGCCGCCCGCCCACGGTCGTGAGCGCGGGGAGCGTGGGCGGCGTGCTGCAGGGCGGCCTGAGCTGTGCGCGCGCGGTGAAGCCGGGCACATGGCCGCTGGGCACCCTGAAGCAGGGGCCCGGCGCCGTGGACGACAGGCCCCTGGCGCCGCTGCACGTGGCGGTCCTCGCCGCACCCGAGCGGCCCGACCGGGACGACATGCCCAAGTACGATCGCGCCGCCCTGGTGGACGTGTCGCTGGACGGGGAGGTGAGCGTCTCGCAGGAGGACGGCGTCGTGGCGAGGCTGCAGCTGGGCAGCGTGGCCTGGCTCAGGACGGCGTTCGCTCCTCTGGTCCTCGACGCGCGCTTCTCCGAGCTGGGCCCACAGAAGGTGGCGGGCTCCGTGGGCTGCCGCAGGGCGGGGAGCATGGTCTTCTGTGAGGGCACCCTGCCTGGCATCGACTACAGCGCGACCGATGACTTTCTGCTGGCCTCCCTGCCGCTGGAGTGCCGACCCAAAGGCGGCCGCCGGTGCTTTATCGCCGTGTGTTGTCACGGTGGTCTCATGCACGTGCTGCGGCTACTGCTAGACTCCAGCGGCCGGCTTGCCGCGAGGCGCAGCCACTCGCAGGGGCGCGCCCGTGACGGCCATATTTACGAGGTGGCCAAGCGGCAGCCGGGTCCGCTGCCGCTGCCGCTGGCGCCAGTGCGCTTCGTGACCGACATCAGCGGGCAGTTGGAGCTCTTGGCCGACGCACGCGCGCCCCGCCAGCATGCCGCTCGCAAGCAGCTTTCCTACCTGGGCATCGGGGGGGACGCAGACGAGACCGAGAGCCCCCGGGACCTCGACGGCTTCCAGGAGTGCGACGCAAACAACATGGGGTCGATTGCGCCGACATTGGCGCGTAAGTTGCCCGCGTAAGGTCGCGCGCAAGCGCCCTCGTTTCCACTGCGGCGTGCCGCGCTGGCGGCCCGCGTAGGCCACCGCGTAAGGTCGTAATGCCATCTAGCGCAAGTCGTGCCTCTGATCGTCGCTCAGGTGGCCAACTGCGCCCGCCACCGCTCCCTCGTGCTGCTGGACGGGGCGGTCTTGCTCACCGCCAGGCACAGGTACACGGCCTTTGCCCGGGTGCCGCACGACTGCCGGCCGGAGCATACCGTCACGCTGCTGGTGGCGCGGGGCCTGCCCGTCGGGCGCTTCGAGCTGGAGCGCCTCGACGTCACGCCTGCGGGGGAGCTCATCTGCCCACAGCTGCCCGAGGATTCGGCGCCAAACCATGGTAGCCTTGTGCGTCCTCGTAGTCAGTGCCGTCTTTAGGGTGCATTGGCGTGCGTCTGGTGATGGATGGGAAAGCGCCGATTCAGCGTCGACTTGGCGTCGAGTTAGCGTCGACTCAGCGTCGATTGACGTCGATTAGCGTCGACCAGCGTCGAATCGCAGGAGCCAGCAAGACGGCACGGGAGGCTCCCTTGGGCTGCCACCGAGCGAGGAGATGGGCGTGGAGCACGTCATCCACCTGGGGGGCGCCGTCTACGGCGTGCCCGCGGTCGCCGGGGAGTTCGACAGCGAGCCGGAGGAGAAGACGGAGCCGGAGGTGGAGCCGGCCGAGCGGCCCGTGGAGCGCGGCGCCCAGGAGCTCCGGGGGGGCAGCAGCACACCGATGCCGAGGGCATCACGCCGTTTTAGGTTTTGTTTTTTGGGTTGGTCGTTCCCAGCCGTGCGGTGCTCTTGGGTCCTCGTTTGGAAGGAGCAGCGCCCCGCGTCCTCTTCCCCTCCTCTCCTTTTCAATCCCTCTCCTCCCTCCTCCCATCCCTGCCTCTGCCCTCTGCATGCGCATTTCGGCACACCCATCACACGCTTCGTGGCCTCATAGGCAGCTCCACCGAAGGCCCAAATGTCCTCGCCCGCATGGCGGCACCGCGCCCATTTCGGCACACCTCTCACGCGCGTCGTGGTCCCATAAGCAGCTCCACCGAAGGCCCAAATGTCCTCGTCCGCATGGCGGCACCGCACCCATTTCGGCACATGCCTCACACGCTTCGTGGCCCCATAGGGAGCTCCACTGGAGGCGGTTCTCACAGCGGCGGCACTCACAACTGCATATGGTTGGGTCCTTCGCCAGGCTTTTTTGTTGTGTTTTTTTGGGGGGCTCGCCGCCACGAATGAGAGTGGATGCGCCTCGGAGTCCTGGTCAGGATTGAGATGATCTTGTTCGAACTTTGCAAGTATTCGGTTTACCAGGTGAAAGCAGGAGCTGGACTGGACTGTCTGCTTTTGCTTTTCTGTTTCGATTGGTTGTGTTTGATATTTGGCGAATGTCTCAGATGTCTGTTGCGGCTCTTGCGATCCAAGCTTTGCAACCGCTCTGCAAGCTGTGCAGAGCTGAGCTGCAGCGCACGCTGCCGAAACAATACTAATCTTTCAGATTTCAAAAGAGCGTCTGGACTGCAAGAGCAAGAAACATAAGGCACATTTCACGAAGTCGGAAGCACATTCAACCCAACTAGTCTCAACAGACACACAAATGCAGACGGTCCAGTCCAGTTCTTGTCTTTACCTCGAAAACTGAACCACCAATCCCTACAAGGCATCAAGCTCTTCTTACCGATAAGAAGCGCTAAGCACCGCTAAGAAAACTCAAACCCTTGCTCTAAACTCGCTTCCGAAGGGCCCACATTATCATTATTATCCTTCTCCTGCTTCACTGTTTTTGCTGCTCATTTTGAAGCATGATCACTTCTAGTTCCGCGCCGAATTAGAAGCGTAACAATTATGTGCCGTGTGCCAGATCTTCCCCTGCGGCGGATTAAACACGAACAGCGGTGTAACCTTGTCCACGGCCCCGCATTCTGAAGCATTCTGGACCGGCCGCGGCGCCTGGTACGTCCTTCAGAACCGCTGGCGCTCAGAAACTCCAGATTTACCACAGTCCGATGTTGTCCTGGCCGTCCAGGCCTCGTCTTGCTTGCGGTGGGGGCGTTCGTTACGGAAAGTGCCCAGAGGGTTTCAGACCCTGGATGGTCCTTTACCTGATGAGGGCGGCAGCGATGCCCATGGCTTCCACCGTCTTCCAGACCCTGGATGCCTTGTATCCATTGGTTCCTTACCCAGTGTCCTCACCGTGCGCCTCCCCGAGAGCTGCGGCACATCGGCACGCAGGGCACCCCCCCCCCCTGAGGAGCTTCCGCCCGCCGAGGGCCCTGCGGGAGCGCAGGCCGTCTCCCGCGAGCTCGGCGATCGGGTGTGGGGCCTCAGCGAGCAGGACAGGGCCTGGAAGCGCCTGCGGGAGCTGGAGCAGAGGCTCGGGGAGCGAAAGCGAGGCAGGAGCATGCATTTTCGGAGGCCCGCGCGGCTTTCTCTGGTCGGCGCTGGGCCTGGCCTCCCCCCCCTCCCCCGCACAACATCGCTAGGAACGGGTGTCATCGTTTTTGGCAGTGGTAGGCCTCCTGGCTCCATTCACGGGCCGGGCCGTCAACAAACGACCCAGGATGACGAACTGGTCCTGGGGGAAGCCCCCCTCAGGGTCAGGGCCTGTTTCCTCCAGGGCCCGGCTCCTCCAGGCCAAACACCGCGTGGCGGCGTCTCCGCCACCGCCCTGGCGCCAAGGGGTGTCGGGAGGGCGGTCCAGCGCCGACCCAAGACATCCGCGCGGGCCTCCGAGAGTTCATGCTCGTGCAGCTTTCTGTTCTTGTGAGAGGGACAGGCGCTTCCGCGGGAAGTTCCGCAGCGCGGCAGAGTTCATGGAATTTGAAAGGACGGTCCCTCTCCTCCTCCTCCTCCTCCTCCTCCTCCTCCTCCTCCTCCTCCTCCACATCTCCCCCCTCTCCAGGACGCTGGAAGCACACTTGATGTGGCCTGTCTGAGCGGGGCCTGGCCGAAACACATGCCGATTTCCACCAAACAAAGGGAGCTGCTGCCGGCGTTTTTGAGGAATGTGTCTTTTCCGCCAGACCTGGGGCCTTGGAGGGGCCTCAGGTCCTCGTGTCACCCGTTCTTGCGCCCCCGAACGCCTCTGAAATAAATCTTGATTTCCACATATAGTTAAAAGTTCCAAACGGTGCTTGCACTTCTGGTTTTTCATGTTCTTTTCTACGGAGCCGGGCTGATGTTCCGCTGTGGCGGCTATTTGGACGCCGTCGCCGCCCCGTCGCCGCCTCGTCGCCGCCCGTCGTCTGGGCTGGTGTGGCGGTCTGGTGGCTATGTTGCCGCCGTCGCCGCCCCGTTGCCGCCTCGTCGCCGTCCGTCGTCTGGGCTGGTGTGGCGGGCTGGTGGCTATTTTGTCGCCGTCGCCGCCCCGTCGTCTGTTTGCCAGTTTGGCGGCTATGTGACACAGCATAAATTGCATCACCTTGATTGCACCACAAAAGTTGCACAACGTATATTGCACAACATATATTGCACGTATATTGCGCAACATAGGTTACCCCACATAGATTGCACAATCTAGTGTGTACTACATATTTCGCACAATTCAGGTTGCATCTCATAACTTGCTCAGCGTAGTTTGCACCACCTCTACCCCGCCACATACATTGCGCGTCATAGATAGCACAACACAGGTTGCACAACCATATTTTGCAACACTTATGGGCTGCACACAATACATTCTCCTGTCTAAAAACAGAATGGACTCTACCCCCCGCGGCGTTATCGCCTCCCTTTCGGATACGTAAATCACATATGATTCTGACCACATCTCCATCCTAAATATGAAATCACAATGTCCAAGGCCAACCGGTATCGGCCCCATTGAGGTTCCCTGGTAAAAAAAACACAATGCGGTGAAATTGTTTGTTCTAACCTAACACTTGTTTGCGAATCCCTTGCAGAACAAATGACGAAATGCACACGCGCGCGTCGTCGCGCGCGCATGCCGATATCCTTCAAAAACCCTCGGTGCTGGAAGGATTTCGCAATCGAGTTTCCAAAAAGCATACCGACACACAGGGTTTCGCAACACTGATGTCCTAAAACAGCTTACGCGCGGGCTCTTGCGAAATCTTAAGAAAACCATAGGTTTTTCAATATTTTCACAAAATGCTTTCAGACGGGCTTCGCGCGCGCGCCTGTCGAAACCATTTTGACCCTTTCGGGCCTTCTTGGAGGACGTCTTGGAGGGCTCTTGGGCCGTCTTGGAGGCCATCTTGAGCGTGGAGGCCTCTTGGGCCATCTTGGGGTCCTCTTAGGCCGTCTTGGGGGCTTCTTGGGCGATCTTTGGGGGCACTTGGGCCGTCTCGGGCCGTCGGGAGGCCGAAAGAATGCAAATGCCACAATCCTTCACAAGCTCATGGGAACTCAATGATTTTGGCCTTTTCGGCCCTTCCTGGAGGCCCTCTTGGGAGCCTCTTGGACCGTCTTGGGCGATCTTAGGGCCATCTTCGGCCGTTTTGGTGGGCTCCTGGCCCGTCCGACGCCGTCGGAAGCCGTTTGGGGGGCCCCTCTGGGCCGACTTGGGGCCCTCTTGGAATGCTCCAGGGCCGTCTTGGAGGCCATCTTGGGCGTCTTAAGGCCTCCTGGGCCGTCTTGGGGGCCTCCTGGGGCCGTCTTGGGGGCCTCTTGGGCCGTTCTGGGGCCATCTTGGAGGTCTCTTGGGCGATCTTTGGGCGATCTTTGGGCGCTCTTGGACCGTCTCGGGCCGTCGGAAGGCCGAAAAGGAGCAAATGTCAAAATCCTCCAAAATCCGAAGGAAGCCAATGTTTTTGGAAACTTTTCTGGCCTTCCTGGAGGCCCTCTTGGAGGCCTCGTGTGCCGTCTGGGGCCAGCTTCGAGCCAACTTCGGCCATCTTGGTGGGCTCCTGGCCCGTCTGACGCCGTCGGAAGCCGTTTGGGGGGCATCTCTGGGCCGATTTGGGGCCCTCTTGGGGTGCTCCAGGGCCGTGTTGGAGGCCATCTTGGGCGTCTTGGAGGCCTCTTGGGTCGTCTTTGTGCCCTCTTGGGGCCGTCTTGTGGGCCTCCTGGGCTGTCCTGAGGCCATCTTGGAGGCCTCTTGGGCGCTGTGGGGGCGATCTTGGGGACCTCGTGGGCCGTCTCGGGCCGTCGGAAGGCCGAAAAGGAGCAAATGCCCAAATCCTTGCAACACCTAAGGAAAACCAATGATTCTGGCCTCTTCGACCCCTCCCGGGGGCCCTCTTGGCGGCCTCTTGGGTCGTCTTGGATGCTTCTTGAGCGAATTTGGAGGTATCTTGGACTCTCTGAGGCCGTCTTGGAGGCCGTCTTGGACCATCTTGGGCGGACTTGGAGGCCATCTTGGACCATCTTAGAGGCCATCTTGGGCCAACGTGGCCATCTTGGAGGCCATCTTGAGCCGTCTTGGAGGATTTTTTGTGGACGCTGAGGTGGTTTACGCGGCCTTCCGGGACGCCGGCGGGACTGGCCGAAGCACTAGGGGGAGTTCTTTCAGAAAAAGAACCAACACCAAAACCAAAATAGTTTGGCACGCCAGGCGCCCCTGCGATGAATCGACAGGGGGCGGCGGATCGAGGACGCCTACGCCGAATCACCGCCGCCCCTTGCCTTTTTGGAATCGCCTGCGTGGCCAAAAGTTGGGTTTGAGCTTGGCCAAGCTATCGGGCCGCGCGTTCCCCGAGTGGGTTTCGAAAGCCTTCGGGGATCACGGAGTCGGGCGAGCAATTGGACCAGTTGGTTTCCGAGCTTTCGGGCCTCCTGGATGACGTCTTGGAGGGGGCCATCTTGAGGCCATCTGGGGCCGTCTTGGGTGCATTGGGGCCATCTTCGCCGTCTTGGAGGCCTTCTTGGCCGTCTTGGAGGCATCTTGGAGGCCATCTTGGCCGTCTTGGAGGCCATCTTGGGCGTCTTGGGGGCCTCTTGGTCCGTCTTGGGGTCTTGTTGGGGCCTTCTTGGGGGCCTCTTGGCCTGTCATGGGGCCATCTTGGAGGCCACTTGGGCACTCTTGGGTCGATCTTGATGGCCTCTGGGGCAGTCTTGGGCCGTCAGAAGGCCGAAAAGGAGCAGAAACTACAATTCTTCAAAAACTAATGGAAATCACTGATTTTGAACCTCTTCGAGGCCTCGTGGGCCGTCTTGGAGGCCTCTTGGAGGCCTTCGGGGCCGTCTTGGGCCTTCTTAGGTGTTTCTTGTGCGAATTTGGAGGCATCCTGGACTCTCTTGGGCCGTTTTCGAGGCCATCTTGGACCATCTTGGGCGAACTGGGAGGCCAACTTGGGCCATCTTGGCCATCTTTGAGGCCATCGTGGGGCCGTCTGGAGCCTAGAAGCCCTTTGCAACCACCTGTTGGGCATCTCTGCGCGCCCTTCTGGGTGGCCGGCGGGACGGGCCGAAGCCCCAGGGGGAGTCCTTTGGAATAGAACCAATACCAAAATCGGAAGGGTCTAGCACGCCGGGGCATCCTTGTGGCAAGCACAGGGGGCGGCGGATCGAAGACGCCTGCGGCGAATCACCGCCGCCCCCTGCCTTTTTGGAAGCGCCTATGTGGCCGAACGTTGAGGCCAGACCTGCCAAGTTATCGGACCATGGCCGAAGCCCCAGGGGGAGTTCTTTTGGCATAGAACCAAAACCGATAGGATCTGGCACGCCGGGCACCCCTGTGGCAAGCACACAGGGGGCGGCGGATCGTCGTGGCCTTCGGCCTATCCCGCCACCGTGCCTGAGTTGTGGGTCTGAGGCCTCTTGTATATGTGTTGGGGTGTCGTGGGGAGCCTCTCGGGGGTCTCTTGGAGGCGGTTTGGGCGCCTCTTGGGGGCCTCTTGGGGCCTCGTGGGGTATCTTTGGGCTTCTTGGAGGCCCCTTGGGCGCGTCTTGGGTGCCTCGTGAGCCCTCGTACAGGAGATCGTGGCCTCGGGGGCGCGAATGTGGCGTACGTGATTTAGAAGCGGTCGCGGCCTCGGGGGCGCGAGCGTGGCGTGATTTCCGGGGGTTCGTGGCTCCAGCAACGTGAACGTGGTGGAATTTGCGGGGAACCGTGGTCTCGAAGGCGCGAATGCGGCGTAACTTGCAAAAGATTGTGGTTTGAGCGCGAATGTTTTGTAATCTACGGCGGATCGTGGCCTCAGGAGCGTGAATCTGCTGTATGTTGCGAAGGATCGTGGCTTCGGGGACGCGAACACAGTATGATTTACGAGGGATCTTGGCCTCGGGGGCGCGAAAACAATACAATTTTAGAGGGATCGTGGCCTCGGAGGCGAGAATCTTATGTATTTTTACGTGTCCCAAGGCACCTGGAAATTCTGAGAACCCTCCTGGGGGGTGGTATCCAGGGCCCTTCCAGGCTTTCCCCCTCGCGCGGACACTAACACTTTACAGTAGGAAGCAGAAAGCAATACTGTAACATTGGAAACTGGAACTGGCGCAGGGAGCAGGACACCTCCGCCACGCAGCCTGATGGCCCCTCAAGGGGGGCCAGCGGATATATGTATGTATGTATATATATATATATGCGCACATATCAAGATGTTTGCAGCGATTGGTCCGCAGGGCGTCAGCCTGTTTCACGTGTGTGTCCTCCTCCTCCCTCTTCATGCCTTCTCTTTCCGATCCTTTCGAGAGGACTCTGCAGTGGTTTCGGGCGCACGACTGCACGGAGAGTCATCGCCTCACACATTCGTGCTTCAAGGGGCGCTCCGACTTCACGCAGTCTGGCATGCTGGTATTCGACACAGAGGAGGATCTAGAGGGCCTCAACAAAGCTATTGCGTGGCTCTACGAAAGGCGTATCCCTGTGGTTCTCATGGAGCGACAGACTCGAATTTTCCCTATGATTTTTGACATTGACCTCAAGTGCACGAGAGAGGAGACCATCAGCAAGGTGCCAGAGCGCATAAAGAATGGTCGGCCTTTCCGGGGGCCCGTAGATTTTTGCCGCTGGCATGGAGCTGACTACCTTGTCTTCAGCTCCGACATGTTTCTGCTGCGACACCTCGGCAAGATCGTGTTCCAGTTTTTTCCAGACCTTCCTCTCTTAGATTTATGCGTCTTCAATGCGTCCGGCTGGGACCGGGTCAAGAATTGTGTAAAGGTGTCGGTTCACCTAGTCGCCCCCTACATCCTCGTGACGCCGGAGCGGCTGACTGCCATCCGCGAGCGGATGTTGGAGTACCTGGGCGAGTGCTCCGAACACAAGGGGCACCCCATCCACGCTCTCCTGAACGAATACCTCGAGGAGTCCGACGACAATGTCTGGGACAAGGTCGTGGACCAGACGGTAACCAGCGGCACCAACGGACTCCGGATGCCCTTCTGTGACAAGGCCCAGCGGAGCCTGAAGCGCGAGTTCCAGGAGACTGTTTTTCAAGGGTCCAGCAATATCCTGGGTTATCGGGCCCGCCCGCCTCCCCCCTCCCCCCCCTCGGAGAATCTGACCCTGTGGGCTGCGCAGGTCCGAAGGGGGTGCGCAGTCTTGGTGCGCGCGGGCATGCGTGGGGCTGATCTGCCCCCCCCACCGGATCATTTGGGTTCCCAGACATCCGGCGTCTAGTTTTTTCAATACGGGGTCTCGACCCTTTCCCCAGGGCCGGTTTTTCATCCCGAGTTGTTGTTTGACGCTCTCGGGGCCGAACAAGGCGAACAGGCGAACAAGGCGAAACGCCAGAGACCGAACAAGGCGGAACGCCTTTTCCTTGTTCTTGATTCAATGCGCTGGATCCTTCTCGCCTAGAAAGAATCAACGACCTTCAGGAGCGCAAGCGGCAGGGCGAGGTGTTCAGCGAGCGCGAGCTGGTGGACTCGCACGCCTACCTGCGCGAGGAGGCCGGCAGGCCATGCCTGCCCGAGGGCATCCTCCGCCTCTGGCCAGTGGAGGGCGACGACGAGCACGCGCTGCCGAGGGCGGAGTGGATGTGCCAGGAGATGTTTTTATAGCTGTTTGTTCTTCAGTGGTACGATTTGCTCGACGCGTGAGCGGATCGCCTCTGCCGCGTCGCCACGGAAGAAAACATTGCTTTTGGTACCCAGACATCTGGCATCTCGACTTTTTCGAGACTGGCCCCCGACCTCTCGACCACTTCCCTGGGACCAATTTTTCATCGCGAGTTTTGTTTGGACGGTCCCGAGGCCGGGTAAGGGCCCCGAGAGGCTGAAAGCTATATGGGGAAACGAGACTTCTGGGGACCCCGTGTGGAACAAATCGCGACGCCGGATGTTTGGGTCTGGCAACGAGCATTACCCTAGGGTGGGGGGTGGGGCCCCGGGCAACGGTAACGCTTGGGCCGGGCGCGGCGCGTCGGGGCGGGGGTGCGCTGCGATCGCCCCAGTTCTGCGCACGAGCACCAGCATGTTGGGGGGATCCGCCCCCCCTCACGTACGACCGTTGCCGCTCCCCCGGGGGGCCGGGTGGGCGGGTCTCGGCCGCTGCGCGCCAGAGGATGACAAAGGAGCAATCTCCAGGGCGACGACCTGCCCATCGACGAGTGGATTCGGCTGGGCCGGTGCCGGTACTCCTGGCGGGTGCCGCTGGCCCCGCCGGGCCCGACGCCCTGGCGCCCGCCGCTGCGGTTCCAGTGGGCGGAGCCGTCGGCTCTGTGGGAGGACCGGCTGGAGCTCAAGGGCAGCCCGGTGGTGCGGGTGTTCTCGGGCAGCGCGGGCGAGTTCCGCGCCCTCTGGGACGAGGCGATGGCGAGGCGGCCTGCCCCTGGCCCCTCCTCCTGCCTCCCGCTGCTGCTGCTGCTGCTGCTGCTGCTGCTGCTGCTGCTGCTGCTGCTGCTCCTGCTCCTGCTCCTGCTCCTGCTCCTCCTCCTCCGCTAACGCACGTTCTGACGCTCTGGGGAGGGGGGTGGGGGGGGGGCCGTTTCCGTTTCTCTGCCTTTTTGAGTTTTCTCTCGCATTCCCTTTCCCTCTTCGCTTCTCTTCTCCCTTCTCTTCTGGTTCTCCCTCAGCCCGTGGGCCCATGCTGAGCCTGCGGGTTCCACGTCGGCTGTCTGCTCGGAGCCTCCTGCCCGAGGTGTGCTTGCTGCGGCGCGTACGGGAGGGGTGGGGGCCACGGGGCCAGCCCGCCTGCGGGAGAGGGGCGCGGCGCTCCTCGGAAGGGCCCTAGGGGGGGGCCTCGGGGGAGGCTCCTCGAAAGGCGCGGGGGCTTTGAGACGCACCCCTGCCTTCGAAGAAGCAACAGCGGCACACGCATACACACATCTATATATACACATATATATATATGTACACATGAATATATATATATATATATATATAAAGATATTCACATTCACACATATATAGATAGATATTTGTTTGAGCTCCGCACGGATTTCTGTGATTGGCGCTGGGGCTCCCTGGTGGCGCGCTCCGCGCGGCAGGCAGGGGGGGTCCAGCTCAGACCCAAGGAATCCGCGCGGACCGACAACAGTTTTTGTTTACGCCGTTCTTTGTTCCTCGATGCCTTCTCAACATGACGCGCTCCGACAAGGTCCTTCGGGGATCGAAGGGGTTGGCACCTCTTCATCGGCGGAAGGCGGTGGAGGATCGGCTGGAGCTCAGTCAAACGAGGGCGGCTCCGCCGGCGGAAGGCTAGCGGAAGTCGGCGGAAGCAAGCGTTGCGCGCTCAAGAGATGACAACGTTTTTGGACTCGGGGCTCCAGGGGTCCGCCAAAGCACCCTCCTACACTCGCCCCACCCCCGCTGTGCACACCGCCAAGTCTCTCCTCCTCTGGAGGTTCGGGAGGCTGCAGGGGCGGTGGCTCGCGACCAGCGCGGGCGCGCGGTGGCGAGGCGGCCTGAGCGACGAGGCCGCCCACGAGGTCCGCTACGTGGAGCGGGCGGGCCGTGCGGTGCTGCTGCTGTCGCCAGAGCCTGGTGCCGCGCGCGTCTTCGCGGAGTTCCGGCGCGTGCTGGCGGGCTGGACACAGCCGGACGACCTGGGCTGCGTACCGCTCTGTGGCTCTCCCTCCGACTCGCACTCGGCCGCGCTCCACACCATCGTGACGCCCTCGGAGGACTTCCCCGACCTGCAGAGCGCGCTGGATTCGGTCCCGGTGGACGAGCCGCTGCACCGCGTGCTCATCAGGGCAGGCGTGCACGATCTGCCAGCCACGCTCGTGCTGCAGCGGCCAGTGCTGCTTGAGGGCGAGGGCCGGTGGGAGACGTCGCTGCGCGCGAACGCAGTACCGGTGCTCCGCTTCGAGGGAGTGGGTGCGTCGACTGCGATGGTGCGCAACCTGCACCTGGAGGTCTTCGTCGTCGTCGTCGTCGTCGTCCTCCTGCTCGTCCTCGTCCTCGTCCTCGTCGCGTTCGTCGTCCTCGTCGTCCTCGTCGTCCACGCCGCCGTCGTGGCCGCTGTTCGTGGGCGAAAATACCTCCGCATCCGCGGCCTTGCGGGCTGGGCCCCTTAGCCGCAACCCCGCGGATAGGGGGCGTTTTTCGCGGATGCCCCGCGCGGAACGTATCCGTGCGACCGCATATTCGCGGGATCGTTCCCCAGAATTCAGATCGAGCGGGCGCTGATATGGATATGTTCGCCGCTCGTGAGGTCCTTGACGACACCGTCGAGGGCCACGGTGCGGCCGCGGTCGAGATGAACTTTGAGGGCCTGGCAGGCGGGGAGCCCGCGCTCGTGGGCTGCACTCTGGCCGCGGCCGGGCGCTGGGGTACGTGCATACACGCCACTGGCAGTGCCCCCCAGATCGTGAGGAACCGCTTCTCCATGGCACGGTGGGGCGTGGTGCTGGTGAACGCGAACGGGCGCGTGGAGGACAACGAGTTTTCCGGCCTCGGCGAGGACGGCCTGGTGATGATCGGCGGAGCGCCCTGGGTGCATCGGAACACCATCTCGGACTGCGGCGGCGCGGGCGTGCTTGCGGGCGCCGAGTGCCACGCGGTGCTGGAGATCAACGAGGTGCGCGAGTGCTTTACTGGCGTCAAGCTGGTCGGCAAGCGCTCCGAGATCATTATGCGGGGTGGCAATCGCCTTTTGCACAATGGCTTGTGCGACGAGCACCAGCTGGAGGCACCACCTGGGGTCATCCCGGGTGGCGCCACCGCAACAGTGCGAAGCTGTCGACCCTTCGCTTTCCTGTCGAAGTCAGCGGATGGCTTGCTCCTCAGACTCCAGGAGTGCAACGACCCTGCGGAGCTCACCATCACCATTCGCGCAGCCAGGCGGCACGGGCTCTACAAGGCGGCTTTCCAGGCCCACGAGAGGTTGACCGCGCTGCGACGCATGTGCCCAAAGGGGCCCCCAGCGAGCGCGGCGCCCGCGAGCTGCGAGGTGGCCGTAGCGTGCAAGGAGTGGGACGGCAGCGTGGCTGGGTACGGTATGCAGTGCGTGTCCACGCGCCCAGGCATGCTGTGTGAGGTGTGGAAGAGGGACCCGTCCGGCTGGCTGTTGGTGAAGACATCCGACCACGCGCGGGGCTGGTGCAGTCCCCATGTTTTCACCGAGGGTGGACTGGTGACGTCGTAGCCTTGGAGTTTCTATAATTTTTGGCGTCGCCTGACCACTGATGGCATCACACAGGGGAGCGGGGTTGTTCGCTGATGCAGCATGTAAGACCCGTTTGCGTGGAGTAAGTCCTTTTATGAGGTGCACCATGTCAAATTACGTTGTTTCTTTTCCATTCCTTCCTCCTCATTCTTTTCTACCTTCTCACATCTGTGAACGGAGGAGGAGGGGATCAGGGAGGAGGAGGAGGAGGAGGAGGAGGAGGAGGAGGAGGAGAAGGAGGAGGCGGAGGCGGAGGCGGAGGCGGAAACGAGCAGGCGGAAAAGTTGAGAGGCACAACCAGTTTCTCAAGCGGCCCCCCCGACTCCTGACACGAGCCGCACTTCGCGCAGGCAACGAGGTCGCCCGCCACAAAGATCTCGCGCCCCCGGGCGAGCTCACAAGGTCGGGATCCCGCAGCGTGGAAACGATCTCCGCCGCAACCCGGGGCTCCTCGGACCCCTGGCTCGCTTCGCCGACGGCTCCGAGTCCGAGGGCAAGCATGAGATTTTCTTTTTAGGTCCGCTGATAAGCCAGGTTATCGAGCCCCCCCCCCATCCCCCCGGATAACCTGAGATTGTCGGTTGCGCAGGTCCGAGGGGGTACGCAGTACCGTTGCGCGCGTGCGTACGTGGGGTTGCCCAACTGGGTAATCGCCGAAGAATGGAACACGATCTCCAGGGGAGCGAACGAACGGCGGCGGCAACAACCGAGTTTCCCCCTCCTGCGAATGACCCGCCTGCGGACCGCTCGCGGAAGCTCGGCCCCGTTCTCCTCGCGAGGCCGACGCAGGGCCGAAGCCGCCGTCCGCGAAGGAGGAGGGAGGAGGAGGAAGCTCAGAAGGAGGCGGTGGAGGAGGAGGAGGAGGAGGAGGAGGAGGAGGAGAAGGAGGGGAGAGGGAGGAGGAGGATGAGGAGGAGGAGGAGGAGGAGGAGGAGGGGAGAGGGAGGAGGAGGAGGACGAGGAGGAGGAGGCGGAGGAGGAAGAGGAGGAGGAGCAGGAGGAGGAGTAGGAGGAGGAGGAGGAGGAGGAGGAGGAGAGCTACGGCACGGACGTCGGAGGCTCCACGAGAGAGGGAGCTCTTGCAGTGATCATCTAGGCAATCGGCAAGGCTGATTGCCGAGGTGATAGACGACCTTGCAGCTACAGGTCCGCGTTGTGTCGACTGGCGGCGACTCCGCCGTCTGCGTTCAACGTTGAACGCCGCTGGCGACCCAGAGTCGGTCGACGTTGAACGATCTCACGTGTCGGAAACTGCCGATCATTTAAGGTTGAACGATCCCCGCAGTGTTAGGAACCAGCGCAAAGGGTCTAAATGACACGAATCCGCGGTACACATTCCCCAAAGGCTTGCTCTTAGGGTTTCTTACTTGGCTTAATCATCTTGGGGTCAATGGCGGCTTTTGCGGGCGGTGCCGCCCGTCGCCGCCGCCGCCGTCGCATCGATTGCACCACATAGATTGCATCACATGACTCCTTTCTAAAAAGAGAATAGACTCTACCCCCCCGGCGTTATCGGTCCCCCTTTCGGGTATGTAAATCATACATGATTCTGACAACCTGGTCATCCTAAGTATGAATTTGCACTATCCCCGGGGGGCCGGGATCGGTTCCCTTGAGGTTCCCTTGTGAAAAAATACGCGGGGACACCTTTGTTCTAACATAAGACTTTTTCACGAATCCCTTGCAAAAAATTGGACGAAGTGCACACGCGCGCGTCGTCGCGCGGAAGGATTTCGCAATCGAGTTCCCAAAAAACAAGCAAAACAGCTTACGCGCGAGCTCTTGCGAAATCTTAGTTTGCAAGGTTTTCCCAACATGCTACCAAACGGGCTTCGCGCGCGCGCATGTCGAAACCTGTCGAAAGCCCTTGCGCGTGTGCCGTCGCGAGAATCCCCTGCACAAGATGAGACGAAGTGCAGACGCGCGGCGTCGTCGCGCACGTATGCCGAATTCCTTCAAAACCCATCGGTTTCGGAAGGATTCCAAAATCGTGTGTCCATACAAAAACGTTAGGTTTCGCACCACGGATGTTCAACAAAAGCGTGCGCGCGCGCTCTTGCGTCGTCGTCGTCGTCGTCGCCGTCCTCCCTCCTCCCGCGTCGTCGTCGTCGTCGACTTCGTCGCCTACGTCGTCCTCTGTCTTTCCTCGTGTTCGTCGTCGTTGTCCTCTTTGGCGTCGTGGTCGTTTCCGTCGTCGTTGTCGCCGTGGTCGTCCTTCCTCCTCCTCCCTCGTCGTCGTCGTCGTCGTCCGTCGTCGGCGTCTCGTCGTCGTCCCTCCTATTTCGTCGCCGTCGTCGTCGTCGTCATCGTTGTCGTCGTCGTCGTCTTCCCTCCTCCCTCGTCGTTGTCGTCGTCGGCGTCGCCGTCCTTCCTCCTTCTTCGTCGTTCGCGTCGTCGCCGTCCTCCCTCCTCCCCCGTCGTCGTCTTCGTTGGCGACAACGTCGTCGTCGTCTTCGTCGTCGGCGTCATCGTCGTCGCCGCCGCCGTCGTCGTCGTCGTCGACGTCGGCGTCATCGTCGTCGCCGCCGCCGCCGTCGTCGTCGTCGTCGTCGTCGTCGTCGTCGTCGTCGTCGTCGTCGTCGTCGTCGTCGTCTCCGTCGTCGACGTCGGCGTCGTCGTCGTCGTCTCCGTCGTCGACGTCGGCGTCGTCGTCGTCGTCGTCGCCACCGTCGTCGTCGTCGTCGTCGGCGTCGTTAACGTCGTCGTCGTCGTCGTTGTCGTCGTCGTCGGCGTCGGCGTCATCGTTGTCGTCGTTGTCATCGTCGTCGTCGTCGTTGTCGGCGTCGTCGAAGTCGTTGGAGACGTCGTCGGTGTCGTCGTAGTCGTTGCGGGCTCGCAAAGATGTACCAGCCAACACCCAGCACTCATCGCAATCGTTCCCGCATGGGTTTTGCAAACCAAGTTACGGGTGGTTGGGTGGAATGATTGCGCGAGCAGTGGAGTTGACAACTTCAAGTACGGTAAGTGAATTGCACCGCATAGACTGCACCGCATATATTGCGTCACATAGGTTGCACCCCAAACATTGCAGCACGTATATTGCACCGCATAGACTGCAAGAACCTACTGTCTGGGGTCCACGCTGGCTGACATGTTCCTGTTGGTGCGGCCAAGTTTCGCAGGCCTCCGCTCGTCCCTGTTCTTGTGGGGCCGAACGTTTGAGAGGATCTCGCAGCAAGGAGGCCACCACTAGTCTACGTCTGCTCAGGACTGGAAGAGATCCAAGCTCGGAAGCGGACTTCGGCAGGTCTGTCCCGTTGAAGTGGAGGTTTGCAGAAGTTTGGGTCCTGGCTAGCAACATCGTCTTTTGATTGCATTTCAGTGCTGTTCCTTATTGCCCACCAGGTGCCGCCGCCAGGAGGTGGACAGGGGGAGCATGAACCACATGAGGCTTAAGACGATGATAACGACGGACGACCCACTTTCGAGAACAGACGTCGACCGACGACGTCTGTAAGTCCCTCTCTGGAGGGCCCTTGGAGGCCCAGGCGCCCGAAGGCCCAGAAAGGCCAAAAGCTTCTGAAAACCTCGATCAGCTTTGAACCTCATCCCCGATCCCTGATCCTCGACGACGACGACG